ATTAGCAAGAAGGATCATATCATCAGATTTGTAATGTATTTTATTACATAACATACAGCATCAGAATTTTCAAATGCAGTATGTGGGGAACTAATGTAGGAAACAGTTAAAGTGGGTGTCATATAATCACAAATGTACTGATGGTTTCCTTTCTCTCAAACATGTAGATAACAATGTTTCTTCTTTAAAGTCATCTTTTCCCACCTAAACCACACCATGAATTTCCACATTTTGTATTCCATTATCCATCAAATCATTTTTAGACAAATAGTAGCTTGCAGAACATTCCTTCCTTCTGAGGAACATGAACCCTTGGCATGTGTAATATTCCAAAACCTGTATGAGCATGGCTCAAATACTTGGATTATTCTTGGATGTTCTTCTCTCCCACTGACTTTGCTGTTGAGCTGGAGCTTCTCTGTATTGTTCTAGACTAACTCTGCCTGGTGTTAAGTCATGTTCTAAACTAGGAACTCCTAAATTTCATCTGGCACTTCAGAATGGGTATACTTTTAGTTAATGGGTATAATGTTCTTCTACTGACAATTAATAGGAGTCTTCCCAATATTTTCATTAGGAATTGGAACTGGACACTCAACAGGAGTCAAGTACAGCTGATATATCTGTGATTTTCCTCCTTGAGAAATCAAATGTCACATTCTTTATTTCACTCCATGGGGGCTGAGTTTAATAGCACCTACTCAGTAGAATAACACATCAGTTCCTTATTTAAGGAGACCTGACTGAGGAAGGGGCCAGAGGTGGGTGTGAGAAGGAGAAAGGCAGTGTCTGCCCAGTGCCATGGTCTCACTGCCCACACTTGCACAGGGAGAGGGATGCAGAACTGCTGCAACTGTTACTGCACCCTATTCCTCTGAACCATTTTGCTTATACCCCCCTCCAAACTTGTCTCCTGTCTATGAACTTTGCATTGTTAATCACATTCCCATCACTCCTGCACTCACTGAAATCTTTCTGTTGCTCTGGGCTGGTCACATCAGCAGGGAAATGGGAGCTACAGCCGCTGTGGTGTAGGAGCTGCAAGTTATCCATGCTTTCTGCTCCCTGTCCCCGCAGCCACCGTGCAGCAGCAGAACCACGGCAGCCCCAGCAGCCTGCACAGCTCCCCAGCGCCTGCTCCACAGGGAAAATCACTGGCAGAGCCATGTTTTTCAAAGGGAAGCCTTGGTTTACACGGGGCTGATGGTTTTGACTGTAAGCCCGCTACTTCACTGTTCCTTGAAGACTAGATGTGGCCTGTGGTTTGCCACTAGACTTTCTACAAAGCTGGCCTGATCCAAATAAAATGTTTCGCTCACCACAAGCTTACAATGAAATTCACTCATGGCATGTTCTAACTTCATCTTTTGGAGCTCGCCTTTGGGTAGTGGACTGTGTAGGAAGTCAGGAAGCAGAAGGGGAGGTGAGGACAGAGAGAACACACCAAGCCCCCTCTGCCTCCTGTTGGGGCTGAGCCCCACAGTGTTAGAGCAGCTCCTTGCTCTGCTGTGAGCAGCTTACAGCACAGACCCGCAGCTCAGTCCAGATGGTGACTGTACTGTTTATACTTAACATGAACAACGCTGATTACATCATGATAGATGTTTTTCATTCACATACATTTTGGGGTAGTAAAATTGGTGTGGAACCAACACAGAATGATGTGGAAATTCCTACAAAAGTCAAATTGGGTGCCAGTTACAAATGATTTCCAGAAAAGCTGGAAAGTACAGAGTGTAAGTATAATTTTTTGTCTTTTTTTGGTATTTATTCAAGTGCAAAACATGTGGACTCTTGCCTGAATTCTTCTCCCTGTCCAGATTTCCACCAACCAAGTATCATTTCTCAGATAGTTCTAATACTTGGATCTACACTGGTTGTGGGTTTTTTGTTTCAAACAATATTCAATTTAGACCGGGACACATTTTTTAATGTTACTTGTGACTAAAAATATTTTCCGTGCTACCCAGTAAAAGTGAAGCCTCAGTTCTAGTCTCAAAATTATATGTATGTACATAAGTATTTCTCCATTAGCTGGTGAGGAATAAATTTGTTGAACAGTGAGGGTCAGGGCTTTGCCAGCAGCTGAAATGTGTTATTTATCAGCAGATCATTACAGTCAGCACTGCACAGCATGTGAACTTCCTCACACCCCTCTGCCAAAGCTCCCCACATGGCTGACCTGCCTTCTGACTTGAGCTTCAAGGAGCTCCCAGTCTCCATCTGGAGATTCAATCTCACTGCACTGCTGGTGCCTATGTGACAGCACCACTTTTCCTTCCCCTTGGCCCCAGTACAGGAAAGTAAAGCCCTAAAGGCATGACTTGGGGACAAAGTTTCTCTACTGAGAGCCCTGCTCTCCCCCACTGATTTGAGTGGGAGAAGCTCAGGCTGTGACTGCCACCCTCTCTGTTTATTTTGGCAATTATGAGAATTGTTCAGCACACAACTCTACAGACTTCTGTAAGTTGTAATGCCTATAATTTAAATATTTTGTGTGTCCAGGCATTGACTGCCATTTCTAAATGTTCCAATACAGGGGATCTTTAGGAGGAAGAAAAGTGAATTGATTTGCTTTTAACATCTGGGCTACTGTAATGCCAAAGGGTTCAAAAATTAACCTTCCTTAAAATACTGTATGTTTTAGTCCTTGTGCTCCTTTTTTCTTCTCCGACCCCTTTTTAAATAACTTTTCAGGCAATTAGGACACCTGAAACTTTTGAAATCAGAGAAGTCCAGAAAATGAAAAGTCCTTGTCCACTTTCTTTTGATGAGAACAGGTTTCCTGAAATGTCATCCAATGAATATAGAGAGATGTTTTTAAAGACCCTAAAACCTTGTTTATGTTCAGATTTTTATGTTGGAGTTTGAGCTTTCACAGGCTACTAGAGGTGTCATTTGATTAGAACTAAGTGACATGTCCAGGTTATACAAAAAGAGCTGTGTCTCTCTCCAGGAGATGAAGAGTAACTGGGCTCTGCTCTGCCATACCTGAGTAGAATGCAACTGAGAAAATGGAACGCCTGGAAACTCTAAAATCCAATACACAGACACAATTGGGGCTATTTCTACTGTGGAGACAGCACTCAGACTAGATTTAGCTCTGGACATTTTATGAAACAAGTACTTTCCAGTCTGAGGAAAAGCACATCAATGTTTTACATCAGTCTACATGTGCAAAATGTGACATTACAAGGTCTGCAACCCTTCCGGGAAAAAATTTTAGGGACTCACAAACTCAGAAGATTAAAACCACAGATTTGGGAATATAAAACAAGAAAATATTTTATATTCTTTGGGAACATGTAGAAGTCAAGAAAAGACAAGCAGAGCCTAAGCAGGAAGAAGCTGACTCTCCAGTCCAGTGTTTAGTCAATGCGAGGGAGATGAAGAAGAGCAGAATCCTGGTTTTGTCAAACTGGAATTGCTCAAGATTACGAAGGCAGAAATCACATTCCCACTGCTTCTTCCTTCATCTCAAAAGTTTCATGTATTTGTTGACTTTCCGAGACTTTACACATATCAATCTCAGAATAACACATGCAAAGAGATTTGCTGTCACATTGCCTGGACTTATATCACACCATCCTTTCATGCCTGTGCAGGAAGTAAAAAGGAAACTCCCTGGAGACTTCCTTCAATGCCACAGTGCTTGGCAACAAGGACTTCTCAAACACTGACTTGATCAGAGAGCCTTTCAGCTTTTAACATTATTAATAATGATCACTTCCTAAATGCTAATAATTCACTCATAATATTATCAAATAATAATAATAATAATAATAATAAATTATACAATTATATGAATGAGCAGTGGTCATCTGAATAATCCCAAAGAAACTGAAAATCCAAAGTGATGCACTGACTGAAGTACAGCCACTGCTGGGAAGAACAGAAGTGAGTGGCCTCCTTATGGCATATGGCACAGAAGGAACAGGGAGAATGCTACTATTGTAGCATTTGGAATTAAAACTCTGCTCTTATGCATCCTTGAGTGATGCTGCAGTGACTTTTATTTTAGAGTCTCATCTGGGACTTATCTGAATTCAAGGTTTTCCCAACAGGAGGATTGATTATACAGTGATGGAGCTTTTTCAGTCCTAGCAAGTCTTAGAGATATTTAGTACATGCATTGAAAACCAATGTCAAGTTCTGCAGTACTGAAGATTAAGTTTGTTTCAGCAACGTGCTTCTCCACCGTGTTTTAAAATAAAACTAACTAGTAGCTGATTAAAAAAAACACATTCTCATGAGATCCCCCTGCAGATGAAATCTGCTTTTCTTCTGCAACTCCTCCTGGGTCCATCCAGGCACATTAGAGAAACAACTGGATAATACATTAAGCAGAGAAGATTCAGAGATTGGTTCTTTTGATGGCTATACAGACTAGATAAACATGAATCTGAGAGCTCAGTACCTTCCACAGAGAATACCCCACCTCTGTGGCCTGGAATTTTAAATGTGCCAACAAAGACTTCTCACAAAATCACCTAACAAAGTGCCAAGCACTTCTGCATTAAGAAAGCCAAGGCTTTAGCGCTACACAATTTTCTAAAGTAAATTCCCTTGACTTGAAATACTTGAAATTTCCCATGGACTCCAAGAAGTGCAAACAATAATCACAGTGAATCAAATCCCAAAATTTTTTGGTGCTGTGACAAGTAGATAAATATATTCATAAGCTTAGTAAAAGAAGATTGGGGGGAAAAAAAGCCAGATTCTTGTGCAAATGTCTACCAAATAGACTCATTATGAGACAGAAAAGCGGATTAACTTTCACCAAAAGCATCACAGAAATATTACTCTTTGATATTACTATGCCTGCTACATCAACAGTTAGCTTGGTGAATTTGGTTTATGAGTCACATGAAGAGTATCTGCTGGCAACGTGACATTTACACTGATGATGAACACCTCATGTTGCCACTAACAGAAAAAATGGTCACCCTTGCAACAGAGTCTTGTTTAAAGTATGAAAAAAGGAACCAATCACTCCTTACCTTCTCAGCATCTTGCTCAAAAAGCCGGAGTTGAAAGCACTGGTCCAGCTTCAACTTGCGGACATGCCACATCTGATGCAAGTGTTGCCGGGTGGAATGCAGCTTGTCTAAAAGGCTGGTGATCTTTGGCACAAGACTTTGAAAATCTGCACTTCCAGGAATGCAGTTCCTACCAGAAAAACCATCACTAGATCTTATGCATTGTAATAACCTCTGGCCCTCACGATCCAGTTCTTCCACAGGAGCTTTAATCACTTTTTTCTTAAGCTGTGTGTGCTCATCAATCAGCCTTCTTGAGCCCTCAACATCAACTGGAAACTCCTTCCTAGCCAACATTTCCTGGAGATCCTCCAGCCTTGACAATAAATGGATGGCACTGTTGAAAAACTCTTCCAAGGAGACACGCAGCTCTATCCATTCATCATGGTTGTAATCCAAGGACCCTTCGAACTCATCCGTCAGTTGAGAAGGATCCACAAGCTTTGCCAGGCCTTCCACAGACACCATACTTGTCTAAGGAAGGGAAAAGGACAGCATCTGAATCAGGGACCATCCAATCAGAATTAACAGCACAACCCCTAAACAGCATGAAGCGAGTATTTTCCTCATCAATACATAATTGAAGGAACATTGTAAAGGATCTCAAGGACTGTGTTTAATTTTGATATATTAATTGGACAGAAAACTTTGCTTCTAATGACATTTATTTACTTACTTACTTATTAAAAGATGTGATATTTACTGGAATAATGCCCATCTTTTTCAGCTGGCCTATCAAAAAAATGTAGTGAATATGTTTCTGCCACAGATTTCATCATCCCAGTTGGGCATTGAAGACTCTTTACTGCAGCTTTTGGATATCTGGACATGGTTGTTCACTAAATATGGCATTACAGGCACTCTGCTACTTGTGTTACACTCCAGCTGGTGGCTACACAGGAGCAAAAGTTTCAGGTATATGAACTGAAGCAGGTACTGCAAACTGCTATAACAGAGAATATTCTGGGTTTCTTATTCCAAATTATTCTAGTTGGCTTTTTTCCATCCATTCATATTAGCAATTCCTAATGTAATTAAGCTAAAATCAATGTAAAAGTGGAATGTCATTGAAGTATTAACAACTAGAATTTATGGCCAATAGAAAGTACTGCTCACGAATCATAGGCAATCAATGAGAAATGGTTTTAATTCATTCAGACTCAGTAAGTGGTGACAGAGAAAAGCACTGGGTGTCTCTAAAGCAGATTACAGTTTAAGGACCCAGCAAGTGATCGCTTTGCCCATTTATTTTAGACAAACTACTTCTTTCTGAAATTAGGAGCAGAGGGTTTCATATGTAACTAGAGATTTTCAATGCTCTCATGTTAACACCCAAGCTGGCAGCCCTTAAAGGCTTGTCTCTTCATCATCTATCCCCTAAAGATGATCAGGCCTCTAAAGAATGTCACAGCTTGTGCTCGTCAGTAATGGAAACACCCAATAATCACAGCACTCTTGTAGAAATCATTTACAAGGAAAAGCACCTAAAGTCCTGACCATTATCCTAGATTATGTCCAAAACAGTAGGCTAGCCATTAGTTAAAGGTTAATAATAGGCTTTTTCGTCCAATTTGTATCCATCAAAAATATCAGGCATTCTGCAATGTATTAAAATTGAAATTGTACTGAATTTAAGCTCAGAAGAAAGATTATTTTAAAACATTCTTGCAATATTCCTTGTTTTGAGGAAAAGGGAGGACAGTGGGAGGAGCAAACAAACAGTGGGAAGGTAAGTATGTAGCTTCAGAGCATTTTCACATTTTTAAGCCTCTTGACCTGGACACTGAGACCTTGAAGATAATTCAATTTAGAGTTTAACTGCCTGTCAGGGAAATACTTCTCTTCATGGCTAACTCTTGGGCAAACCCCTGCAGTCTGTCAGGCTAATGGAAACATTGCTCTAATCATGCACAGAATTTGACATCATGAGACAGGAAAAAGGCTTTTCATTTTGCAAATTCAGCAGAAATTGTCTTCATTCAGGTTTGATTTTTTAAGTAGTTCTTGAAACTCTAATGAAAGCATGTTTAGTGAGGCAGGTAGGTGCTTACTGTTGCCTCGGCATTGCTCATCCTTCTTTTTGAAATCAATTTAAAAAGTGCTGTCCACTATTTAGCCTCTTTCAGCAGGAGAAAGAAAATAGTCTTGAAGGCACCTCTGAATTAATGCTAAATAAGGTGCCTGGTCCATTCCTCAAAGTGGCAGGAAACGTTGGAATCTTCATACATCAACCAAACTCTTTCCCTTCTCTTTCTGGGTGAAGATCTGTGTACATGCTTCACTCTGGACCGTGACACAGAAACACTGTGCCAGAATCTCACCCCCCAAAATCCAGCTCATCAGTGTCCACTAAGGGTCCTACAATGCCCTGGCACATACATAATGCTTCCATTAAGCTCAAAAGAGAAATCTGGCCTTAAAACACTGGGTACTGTGGACAGGGTAAATCAGCAGAGACTTCCACTGCCTTGCACTGCAGTGTGCTCCTGCCAAGGCCCTGGTGTTTGATCCCAGTTGTGGGAAATTGCCATGGCAGGTCAGTTCAGGGACAGTGCCTGTGAACTGCCCCACATAAATGAAATAATGGGAACCACACTGACCTTGTTTGATATTCACAGCTCTTATGAGAGAGCATGAGCTGCCCAAGAGCCTGAGCTTATTGATAAACAGCAGCATCCCAAAGAATCACTCCAATAGAAGTTCCTTGACTTGTCTTGTGTATATTGCAGGGTAGACCACAGCTTAGGAAATCTGTTTGAATCATGGAATTGAAGGACTCAAAGCATTCTATGATTCTGTCTGCAGTGGTCCAATACACAGTGAAAGCACTGGCTTCGCTCCTCTGGCCCAAAAATGTGTAAACCATTGGACACCCATGTGAAGAGCCCTGCAGACAGACTAAGGCTCAAAGGCCTGATTACACACACAAAATGGAAATATCCTTAATGGCTTCCAGCATCTACAGCAAACGAATCCAGAGCTTTTTAAACAATACAGACTCAGAGCTGTAACTATGAAGCATAATTGGTCACAGTTTACTCTTTACTATCATCACAACAACTCCACATAGTAAAAATATATGTCAAGCTTCCAGAAGGCATTTATTAATTTTAAAAACAAACAAATGTTCCAAAAATATGCAATTGAACTCCGTTACTTCATCTGTCCTCAAAGGTATCAAAGAGTGTAAAGACATTTGATCAAAGCAAAATTTATGAGCTGACTGGATTTTGTGAAAATTTACAAACACTTAAAATGTGATAATAGTGTAAAATTGTGTTAATGAGTAACACCAATCTAATTCCCTATAGCGATTCAAGGGTTCTTGCAAGAACAGGTTGAAAATAAGGACACATTTATATCACACTGACTTCAATAAAACTTCAATAGATATTTAAATAGTCTTCCATTGTAGTAAACATTAAGAGCTATAACCAAATTCTCTTTTGTATTCCAGAGATGCAAAATCTCTGTGTTTCTCTGAAATGAATGGATTGGTAAAACAGACAACAATATAAGTGTTTCTCAGTGAATTATTCAAAGACAACACAATGACTAAGTCATGGTGTGGCATGATTGATGCATGAGCACTTCATGCACCTGAGTTTTGCTTCTTTTTGGGCAAGAAGCTGAAATTCACAGAAAACTGAAGTGCTGTAGAGAACACAGCTGGTTTGTCTTCATCAACAACAAAGTCAATAAAATTGCCTTTAATTATGCAGTTGTTATGTACTGGTTACTTCTCAAAGGACATGCCTGAGGCACCTTATAATTCACAGTTGCTTATGCTATCGCTGAACTGTAAATCTCAATTAAATGAAAGAGGTGAAAATTTAGAAAATGTGTTTCATTTTAAAAAAAGCCACTAGTGGAAGTTGGGTAAACTAAAATTGTATCTTTAGCATTTTGACTGACTTGGTGTTGTGTTTTTTGGGTTTTTTCCTATGAGAAACAAAGGAAAGACTTAATGTAACATGACCAAAAATAAATACCACAAAAAAACCCCAACCAAACAACCAAACAAAAAAAAACAACAACAACAAATTAACCCTCAGCAAAATGAACTATGTGAACCTCTGGGATAAAATATGCAATTAATTTCACCAGTGTGCTAGGAAAACAACCCAAAACATCAGCCCACTCCTGCCACCTGCCCTCAGATATATTTTTTTGCTTTCAGTCACAGGGGGTTTTTTACCTGAAGAAAAGTTCTTATCAGAGATAATGCTTTACAATTCATTTCTACATGGCTCTCACCTCAAAGATGAACTTGGAACTGCCGAAGTTTGTTTTCTGCTTCTGCCAAAAATTATCAGGTTTTATAATCAGGGCAACATGAATCTCAGCAGGAAAGGCTTCTTGAAGGGTTTTTAGGAGAGGCTTGATCAAATCCCATTTAGATCCCCGCATATCAATAATAACAGTGAATCCTCGTTTGCAAACATCTTCGCTGCAGGAATAAAAACACATCATGATAATTAATATTGTGGGCAGCCACAGTGAGACTTGGCTTTTGTTGCTGGTGTTTGGTACTTCAGAGCAAAGCAAGGAATGATTAACATAAAAGATGAGAGATAGTACAGTATAAAGGCTATAAGAAAGATCATATTAAATTCACTATAATGTAATTTACATGAAATTCAAGTGTCTAGATTACAGTTTAATCTCTAATTTTCCAAACATGTATAATTCAAATATTCACTAAAAACATACATACTTTCACACCAATTGGAAACAGAATCAAATACATCTGTATAAAAGTTCTTTATGTGTACATACAATGGATTCTAGTTTCAACATATTGAACCCAGCCAAAGTCAACAAGCAGGGTCCTTTCCCTTAGCATTACTGGCCACTTAAATTTGGGTGCCTTCATTTTTAGAGGCCCCTTTAAATACTTCCAGAAAAGTGTCATGTCCAGAAAAATGCCTTGCAATTGCTCCATGACAGGAGTGCACATGTGACTCAGCATGTGCACTGTTATCATTGGGGCCCTTTTCCCTCCCGACTGATCTTCCAAATGCTGCAGGACCTTTTTCAATCTGCAGCCAGACTTTTCTCCCAGCCTGTGCTCCTCCCTTCTCAGAAGTCCAAGGCAGTTATCTGGCCTGGTTACTGGCAATGCATGGGGCCCAGCAACACCACAGCATTCCCTTGCTAACACATATTTTCTTTTTCCTCATGAGAAGAGAGGAGAAAGAATAAAAGGATGGGTCAATTCAAGTCAAGTCTGTGCAGCTTTCAGCACAGCTTTTCAAGGGACATAGTAGTATTTATACTCAGAAAAAGAGATATGGGTATAATGTAGAAACTGTAAGACTGTTTAGCCTCCACAGAAATATTCCCAGTGCACAAACACACAGGAGGATTTTCACTGCACTCTCCCTCTTTAACTTCTTAAAACACTCTTTCTGCTTGCTAATAAGATCCACTTCCTACATATTCCACAGAAAACAACTCTATAAAGCATATAACTAGGTTTCTGGGCTGGAACAAAGACAGGAATATTTTTCAGAGGAGGCACACTGGACAAATGTATGTTGAGAGTGTGCTAACTTGAACAGTCTCAACACAGTGCCAGACGGGAGCACTTGGAGACAACAAGCTTGGTCCTCTGCCTTAACATTATTGGCACATCCAGAGCACACTGCTACAACAGTCAGTGCAAAGAAAAACTAGGGAGACGAGGCAATTCCAAACAGTCAGGAACATAGATATTTTTATTCTCCTTTTACCTACTGCTGAAAGGTCAGACATCTAATCCTTTCGTAACTAATGCCAAAAAAAGGCTGTAAAAGAAGCTTTGTTGGGGGTGCTACAACCTCTTGCCTTTTGGAACGAGTTGAGACAAGGAAGCAAATCAGAAAGCAATGAATAGAAAGGGGTTTGTATTTTGTGTTATTTTTCTTGCAAAGCTTTAGAGGATCTTCAGGAACTTCTGCCAAATCACTGATCCCTGTTATCCTGAACAGACTTTTCCGAGTATTTCTTCAAACACTTGAAAAAGAGATGCAGGAGCCAAAGGGACATGTGGAGAGCCCCAACAGAGGACAAGTAACAGGTAAGTGCAATCTGTCTTTTCTGATATAAATAAATAAATACACCACCACTATCCATTGCAACCACAGCAAGGCATAGACAGTGTTAGCTTCATTCCAACTCCCCTCACCACTGCCAACCTGCCAAGTTACCTAATTTGATGTAAAACAAAGTTAAAGTAAGTTAATACTTATCGATGAACAACCTAAAACCTGTTTCAGCAAGCAGGACAGGAATGTACTGGAAGACTGAAGTCTTCTGTTTATGCACCTGAACCAAAGTCTTAGACACAAACAGATCCAAAATCAAACCCTGTCTCTAGTTGTGGAGCAAAGGCAGAGTAATACCTTGACATATACCACCCTTGATTATATAGCACCATGACTAGAAGTTCAGCCTGCACTGAAACAGATACCTCCACATTCTTCTGACTTTTTGCAAAAAATTAGCACCTGATTTCTAAACCTGCTTGTCCAAAGCTATTATTTATCTGTGTTTAAATGGTTGCAAGACAGAAAGCTGCCTGCTCATTATTTCTACTCCCAGTTGCAGATCTTGTTGCATAGAAGGTGCCTTCAAGAGCACTTACCCTGCTCAAACAGGTAGCCAGATACTAACCAGGTACTAATATCTCAAAGAAGGACATGTGAGATAAGCAAACTATTTAGAGTATAACCTCTTCAGGTCAGTGACCATCTGCTATGCTGTGTTTGTTTAAGGAGCCTGCCTTGCTGAAGGTCTCCAGCTACCTATATTCATACTACAGTCTTCAGCTGTCTGGAGTAAATTCCAATAAATTACTTTTCAGGAAACTATAAATGAAAATCCAGGGAATTAAAAATAATGAGTAATCATGATCTGCAAAACAAAAATTGAATACGGATGTGAAAGCTCAAAAGGCTAACATAATTGTGGGGACACCTCACAGGCTATATATTTTTTTAAAATAAATTATATATATATATATATATATATAAATTTAAGTTGCAATATCCAAATATTTCCAGCTATTGACAGCAACCTAAAAAAATTGGCCTAGACATAATGAAGCTCTGATAAACTCTGGTGAGACAATCTGGGACAATCTGTCATCTCTGACAGTCGTTTTTCTTCAGTTACCTCAGCATGGATTGAGGAAATGACGCGAGGTTCCTTTTGAATAGTCTAGCCCTGCTTATTAACTTTATTGCTTAAAAGCAACAACTCAAACCCTTCCCAATTTAGCAATTGATCGGGAAAAACATCAGTAGCAACTGAGCTTCCTCCACATTTTCCAAGCGAGACATGCCTTATTCCTGGCTCCCAGGATGACACATCAATACTCATATCTATTATGCACAAGTAACCACTTTAGTACGGCAATTAATGTTGATTGTGGTGCTTAATTTTTTCCGGTATTGATATTTGACCAGAAACTGGAAAAAACACTCAAATCAAGGTATTTGGACAATCCATCAGCCTTTTGGCTGTGCTCATCTGGACTAGATTTGCAATGGTGAGGAGAAATTATTTGATAGTTGATAAGTCATTTCAGTTGCTCCACTACTTTTAAGCAAAGACAAAGACCAGCTTCTAAGTCTAATAAAAATACCCTAGAATATTTGCAAAAATAATACTTATGATCTGGATTTAAAAAAAAAGGCATAAAATGGAAACTCAGAAGCAGATGTGATAATTTTGTAAAAAAACCCCAAAAACCTCTATTTTGGTTTCTAGGCTACTTTCGTAAGGTTATTTTCTCAAATTTCCTCTTTAATTCAGGCACACTCTAAATTGTATTTTCTTTGGCAAGAGCTGGCTTGCTGGGTACCACATTAATTTAAGGACTTCATGCTTTCTGATTAATCTTTCAGATACCTATTGATTATGTGTATTTTTCACCCTTATGGTTTGGCCAAAGCTTCTGGCATTTGGAAGCTTCAGCACTTGATTAGCTGAAATAACATAATATCTCCATTCCCATTTTGCAGTCATGAGTTAATGATGAAACAGCACATTTAGCATTCCTATTGGACCACTAAAAGCCCAGATCTGACATGTCCAGCATCTCATTCTAAATATGATTTGTTAACAGAGAGAGCAAGATCTCTTTTAAGGCAGGTCAGCATAACCTTGTCAGGAGACACTGTCAGAATAATAATTAGCCCTTCAGGCATCAACACATAGGAGCAAAATCTGCAGGAAATTAATTATTTTTGAGATCACCGTTCCTTTGATAAATGTGGCTGTAGTCAGCCAATTGCTTCACAGCTGAGAGTGGAAAAAGGGGAGGGAGAGGAGAAAAACAGGTATGTAAAAGCACAAACTGTTATCCCAAAGGCCTCATTTCATATGAGACCTCACTAACTCTGCTGCCTAGTTTCTATATCAAAATCACCAAGGACCACCTCAGTGATTTACATGCTAATAGTTTTGATTAATTGTAATTTTTTATTCATTTTTGTGTGTAGTTTATTTACTCAGCTTGGAAACAAAACTAAACAGAGAGGTTTATAATCAGTATTACTTACAGACTTTCATACTTTGGTTTCACATCACAATGTTGAGCTTGAAGTTCACCTTCTCAATAGAAACAGTCAGTACCTGTATTCATAATTTACTTTCCAGTATATTTAAAAGACCAGGTAAAGTACTTTTTATTAGACCTGTTTGCCAAGCATGCTGAACCAGCATTATTTATTAAAATATGTTGTTCTATTTAATACTTCTCAGCAAATTGTACCTTGCTTATTATCCCAGCTAAGGAATGTGTTCCTGCGCTGTCAGTCTGAGCTGTCACCCACATCCCCAGTGGCAGTGGCTGCTCAGTGGGATGAGACAGACTGTCTTTTCAAAGATCCTGGGACACTCGTGACTCCTAATCCTCACATCTCCCTTCTGTGCTGCTATATCAAACACCAGGAGAGGAACTTAGTGATGCACAACCCAAGAGCACCATTACTCTGGAATAACAACTCACAGCAAGCACCCACTAGAGAACTTCAGCCACCTAAAAGACTGTAGATGGACAGTCTTCATCCTAGATTTTCCTTCTTACATGTTTGAACTTGGTTTCACAATGCTTTTTTACAATTAGAGAAGAAACAGCCACCCAGACTCCACTTCCAATTAATCCTTTCTTTCTTACTGTGACCTAAATTTGTTTATTCTCTTTCAGCACTGAAAATGAATCACTCATTCTCACTTTTCTTTTTTAAAACAAGAGAGAAAGAAAGAAAGAAATCAAAGCCAGTTTCACAGTGGCTGGAGCTGGACATAAAGCAGTGATCTAGAGAAAATTCAGTGACGTGCTGTAAAAAGATTTGGAGCCAGTGAGGTCCAGGCAAAGACAAACCTCCTGTCTCTGGTTTCCAGCCACTGCTCTTAGGGAACATGAGGTGTGTCTGTGAATGGCACAAGAATGCAGATGTG